TGTGTGTGTGTGTGTGTGTGTGTGCAGTTTTGACAGCGGATTTTGATAGTCTCTAGCCAAGAGCACTACTCTAAGACCGCTTCTTGCACGTCTGAATCTCGCGTACGAGCGTGCAAAAGTTTTGGCGGGAAAATTGCTAACTGCTAACTGGAATTTTAAAGCGATGTTCCCCCATCCAAGTGCAACTTAAAGATTTCATATTTGGTCTTCAGGTTTGCGTGGTTCCCACATACAGGCACTCAAAAGTCTTGGCGGGGAAATTGCTTGTTGAACAGCTAGTTTAAACGAAAATTGTCCACTTTCCTTTATGCATAATTTGCGATGATTTACGCTGGTGAGTACACAAGGTAAGTGTAAAGCAAGAACCATTCATATAGTTAACTGCCTGATTACTTCATGTTTAGTGCAAAAACGCATGGTCGCACCGGCAGGCCTTATATGTCCCAGCCTTGAGTTTCGTCTAGATAATGTCCTAGAAGTCGCATCAAAATCCTCTACACCCGTCACTGGTAAAATAAATGGCGACGCGCACCAGACTAGCCGGAGCGATCATGCGTTTTGTGCAATTCAGCCCATCGAACGATTGCCTTTTAATGATTTTCACTGCTTTGTGCTTTAGTCTATGTAAAAATAGTTCAAATATTAGAAAACAGTTAAAAATTTCACGCACTAGCGCATGAAAGCTGAATTCGAGACCATGAAGGATGAATATTTTTCCGTGACCCCGTGACAATATGCTTTTTGTACTGCTGTTACACAGCACAAAACGCATAATAAAGTGGCAAAATACCGATTTCATGCTTGTTTGGGACAGGAAAAGTGGCCTCCAAGCTGTATAAGCAGCACGTTTCACGATACACATAGTATACTTGGACTTGTGCATTTCCCCACAGTATCTGGCCGGATACGATAGAGAACAGAAGATGTGAGCCTTGGGTTGTCCAGGATTGGAAGATTAACTAGCCTAGTACAGTTTCCTACATGAGATATGCCCTCAAACTCAGGGGTTTCGTACAGATTTGCTGCTAAGAACGGTTGATGGTTGATTCCACCAAGAACTGATGGTACTAATATTTTTGTACTGCTGTTACACAGCACAAAACGCATTACCAGGGCTTTGGAGAAGTTCACAGGGTCATCTTGGTAGGTATGACTGGATCTGTTGTGATAACAGAACGCCAATTTCATAAAATTCTGGAGGAATTTAAATACTATGCAGTGGCTGCATGTTATCTGCTGCTGATGCCTGCGCTAGCAATGAGCAAGCTGTTGTGGTAGAGAACAAAAATTCCGTTTTTATCAGCGTCAGCTTTTTAATTTCAGCAAATTTCAAGCTATAGAGACTCAAGTACATGCGTGGAGTAGAGATATTATAATAAAAAATAATAATTAAAAATAAAAGTTTCGCACAAAAGGACTTGCAATTTTGCATAAAATTCATATCAAAAAATCAGATTTGCACGCATGCTCTGGACTTGTATTCGGAGTTCCTAATTTGTAGTTTGAGCGAATATAGTTGCAGTTCAAATCTGAGAGGAAATAACGAAAATTAGAGGTGCCGGAAGAATGGCCATCGGTCGTTGCAGCACTGATCAGAGTAGCTGGAAAAGGTACCTGCTATATGAATGGAAAGAGGGACTATGAATTATAGCTAATCCATGTTTCCTTACTTTGGTCTTCATGGATTAAAGTACGTTTGCTGGTTGTGATATGCATGCTGCACTTGGTGCATTTTTGAATTTTTCCCAGAACTTAGCGGTCGAAGGAGGTGTACCCAAGAGACAATAGCAGATGAAGGGCAAACAGCACATTTTGTCACTGTACAAACAACATTCAATGGAGAAATCGTTTCATTTTCACCGCTACCTTCCGTCAACGAGCACTTCTTAGCCAAAATGTATAGAAGCCGGTACCAACAGCAATAGCCCAGTGCAGCAGCAACGAAGTGCAGTTGAAATAGAAACCACTCCCAAGACTTGCCCGAACTACCAGCTTACTGCGTGTAACAGCGAACAGCGCTCTGCCCAGTTGTTTCAGGATATTTTCTGCTGTCTCTGCAATACTCTCATTTTAACCGATAAAAATCAAAAATAATTGGCACCAACGCATGGGCTGTCCGTGCGAAGATGCGTTTTTTGCATAGCTCTCCGCAGTTTTTGTCGCTACCGGCACCAGTTTTTTCTGCAGATGCTTCTAGCTAAACAAATGCGCGTCAGAATTGTCGGAAAACACCAACTCGAAATTTCAGCTTTCTAGCTTTCCTGGCTCCTGGGTTAGCAACATACTGGAAAAAACTTTCCGGGCCGTGCGTGAATGCCACATACTCGATGTCTGGGTTTGAGCTCATTGACTTACGCGGACGGGAACATTCTTTTAAAACTACAGTCTTCTAGCTTTTCAGGTTCTTGAGTTAGCAATTTATCCGAGAAAAACTTTGGTGAGACCGTGCGTGGATATCACATATACTTGAGGGCTGGGTTTGAGCTGAGTGAGACTTAGGTTGATGGGGAATATCCTCTTAAAATTACAATCCTTTAGCTTTTCAGATTTTCGAGTTATCAACTTACCTGAAAAAAATTTTGGCGGGCCTATACGTAAGTACCACGCTTACCCGGGGGCTGGTTTTGAGCTCATTAGTACCTGTTTGGACGGGGAATATCGCCCTAAGATTTCAGCTTTCTAGCTTTTCAGATCTCCGAGTTATCAACTTACCCGAAAAAAATTTTGGCGGGCCCGTACGCAGTTACCACGCTTACCCGGGGGATGAGTTTGAGCTCATTAATATCTACTTGGACAGGGAAAGTCCCCTTAAAATTTCATCCTCCCAGCATTTCTGGTCCCGAGTTAGCCGTTTACTCGTAAAAAACTTTGGCGGGCTCTTATTTGAGTACCAATGGGTAAGACCGCCGATTTTGAGGATGGAGGCCCGTACGTGCATGTAGATAAAGTCCCTAAAGTTTCAGCCCTGTAACTTTCGTAAGTCTCGAGATGAAAAATCGGTACAGAGACCCTGCGCACACACAGATACACAGATATACACACACACACACACACACACACACACACACACACACACACACACACA